ATGGAAGGAAAGAACAAAAATTCTTGCATATTTTCTCGTAATATATATTCTTCACACATTTCTCCATCGATGTAGGCAAGAACCAAGTTTTTATGATGAATGAAGCATGGACAGGAATTCTTTTAATAATAATCCCTTGTTCAAACATTTTACAATATTATTTTAAATAATTAATTTTTTTCTCAGTCAAATAATGTCAGCAAAACCGAGAAAACTTCAGGACATATACTTCGAAGTGTCCGCTACAAACCGGGAACGTTAGAGAAAGGTTTAAATTTCCCCTCTTAAGTCGATTTTTTCTTGTCACGATGAAACGTTTCTATACTTTACTCGATAACCACCATATCGAATCTTTAAATCACAGGTTTCGAGACAAGTTTTGGATAAACCAGCCGATGTATGATGATATAATTTTGATTCATTGAGACAGTTGAGAAGACGTTCAATTTAAGTTCTGGGAGCACAAATATTTCAAGCTCGTAAAGATCATTTTCGCTCAAGTTGGTGATCTCAACATCGTGTATGATATTAAAAGAAGTCACCTAGTTGTCATGTGTAATGGACAATGGAGTGTGTTCATCTGCTTCAAATAATGGTGCAACGCCCGTTACTCTGTAAAACTTCTTCCCGTTTCGATAAATTGCACACATGATATCAGAAAGCTAAATTTACCCTTATTTTCAATCCACACGTAGTGTACTCTTATGTAATGATTCTCAATGCTCTAGCGAAACATCTCTTGATTAGTTTTGTTTTACTATAGGCAAATATCAAGACGCGAATTGTGCAAACGTTGCATACAGATCTCACGATGAACTGTTCCCAGGTGACAACTCACTTTCGGATCGAGACTATGTGCATTAGGTAGGCCTCCACAAAGTATATTTAACCCCAAAGGATTACATGCTCATGGTTTGTTTTGATAGAGTTATCGAATTTTTACGGCTTTTACGAAAACGTGTTTCCTATCATTAAAAATTCGATTCTGGAATCAGAGAAAAATCTGAAAGTTTGTTCGTTTGTCGACAACAAACTTTCAATAACGAATAACCGATTATTTATTCTCGACAGTTGCGCTATAATTCAAAATTAATTGGAAAAAGACATGTTACAAGTATCATTTTTTGTAACATAAAAATCGAATTGTGTATTAAAATATATCTTGCGAACACTCAACATGCAGCTATCATTATTCTTTCTACTTCTTCTATTGCATTCATCTTCGGGTAAACGGAAGAAAAATGTAGGAGCTTTGGTTCGTGTTACAACATCAAGTACAGTCGGTGTTCTATTTGATGAGCTGCCAGTGGATACTCATAATTATGCACGATCGTTATTAGATAATAAAACAGACGATTACTGGAAAGATCTGGCCCGTCGTCAACTTGATTTAACCCAAGTGCGCCTCGTTTTTCGACCATTGTATTATCCAGATGTACAGCCACCAACATTTCGTGGGACATTTTCGTTACCACTGCGTGACCAGTTAGAAATTCGATTGAAAGGTCGGCCGAGGTGGATAAGTGAAAATGGACATAAACTTTATGTTAGAGATTATGCTTTAAATGCTTATATATTAACCGATCGAAAATCTGTTATACTAGCTGATGATCGCCTTTCCTGCATACATAAATCATTTATCATTAATTACACATTGCCGTTGGATCCAATGCTTCTTGTTCAACGAACTGGTTTAGCTTGTATGGGTGAAAATCAATGGCCACCGAATAGTGTTGATGCGGAAAATGTGGAGTATTTTTATGATGATACGTGCGAAGTTGAGCAACCACAATCACCAGAAACTATTGGTTGTCAACAATGTCATTGTCAATATCCTCTACCGACGTTATCGTGCAAGCAGGCGTTAACCAAATACGTTGGTAGTATACCTATCCAATTAAAATTTGTTCGTAAACCGTGGAATAGATTCACTGCTAATCGCTGGCGTTACCCGAAACGACCATCGGTTAATGGAAATGGTGTTGTAGCCCCCGTCAATATATTTGAATATAAACCTGATTTACAACGTAACCGACTCGTCTATTTATACATTGAAGCCGATGGATGTGAAATAGTCGAACAATGTGTGGAAACAAGTGGTTGGAGACGATTATTACGTTTCTCGACAACCGCTCCAAACTTTGGTATAGAAGATTTACAACTTGGTAGAGTCAGTTATTTTGCCAATGATCCTCCAAGTGATCTTGTGACAAAGTATCATATGTTTGAATTTTCACCATGTCACCAACATTTTCATTTTAGCCATTATGCAAACTTTACGTTCGGCAGCCTTTCTAATGCAAGAAACAGTAAACGGGGCTTTTGTTTACAAGCGGTCTACCGACATGCCAACGCAGAATGGTCTCCGCTGGCACAAGCTTATTATACATGTTCCAATCAAGGTATCCCTGCTGGGTGGCAAGATGTCTATCAAGATGGAATTCCATGTCAATGGATCGACGTTACATCTTATAATACCCGTAAGCAAGAATACACGAGTTATCTTCAATCCCATGTTAATCCCGATGGTTTCTTGTGCGAAGGCGTATCAATAAATAATTCGTGGATAGAGACAAATTTCAGCACGACTTGTTGTAATGGAGAAGGCTGTTGTGGCAACAGTAATTCAACTGAATGCTGCGGTGGTGAACCAGTGTACCGGACTAATTGTGATTACTGGTCCGGATATGAAGATGATAATAAGGCGGAAACAGAAGTGACACTACCATTAAACGGTAATGGACAATTGACGGCAGATTGTTGGACTATTAGCGGTCATTGGGGACCAAGACGGGATTGCGGTTTTCGATTACATCCCTATGGAAAGTATCTGTCGTGTCAGCCGGGTGAATATAAGACATTAATGAAAGTTCAAACAAGTATTGAATATCAAATATTACGCGTTTGTGAGGCAAGTATTGCGTTACAATGTGGAATGGCCTGTACATGGAATAATTCATTGGCAAATGTTATTGTTGACAAGAAACAATCAAAAAATGTCCATTTCTTATGTCCGGCAGCTCGAGATGAAATTGAAACTGGCGGGCGTTTTGCGGTGTATGTTGCACCATTATTTGAGGAAGACGAACACACTCCATTGTCTGTTACATGGAAGAAGTCTTACTGATATATTTTAAAATAATTACTTTTAATTTTTAACTTTGGTTTTGAGATTTTTTTGTCTGATGATGCCTTTTTTTGTTGACTATAAACGTCTATCGCAAGCGTCTGTTCAGAAGCAGATTCTCTGGAATATGAACGAAGAATTTTTCAAAAGTTATTAAACTCGATTTTTAAATTGAAAAATACGGCTTTTGAAATTTTAAAAGTTAGTAAAATTTAATTTAAAAGTCCAATTTAACAGATTTTAAAAGGTCGCTCGTTCATATTCCAGGGAATCTGATTCTGAACAACTTGCACACCCACACTTTTTCTTGAAAATGCTTTCTTCGAGCGGAATTTGGTTCAAGGTGTTGTAAAAATATTTTCACTTAGCTAAAAATTAGAGAAATTTTAGTTTTGAATGTTCTTGTTAAATTTCTCCAGTTTGTAGAGGACCCTTCGAAGTATACGTTCTGAAGGTTTTTCGGCTTACTGACATTGTTTAGCCGAGAAAAAAATTAATTACTTTAAAAAATGTTGTTAAATTTTTGAGCATGGGTCTGTTATAAAACAATTCTAATGAATGAATTGGATTCTAAACTCTTAAGCTAGCCGATCTTGTAGCCCGTGAAATTCTCTATCAAACGAGATATTGCTTAAATGCTTTTGTTGAGTCCTTATTTTGGAAAAAGGACTATAAGCTAGTAGAGTAGGCTAAATTAAAGTTAATTAGTACTAATTAGCCAATAACGGGAAGGAAAGAACAAAAATGTTTACATGTTTTCTCGTATCAAATATGTTCCACACATCTCTCTATCGATCTAGACAAGATCCAAGTTTTTATGATGAGTGGAGAATGGACAGAAATTGATTTAATAATAGTCCCTTGTTCAAAAACTTAACAATATCGTTTAAAGTAATTCATTTTTTTCTCAGCCAAATAATGTCAGTAAGCCGAGAACAACTTCAGGACACGCGAACTATGCTCTACAAACTGCGAACGTTGGATGAAAATGTAAATGGGGGGACCCCCCTCTTAAAGACAGATGGACTATGGATAATCGACCATGCTAAAAGATCCTCTGAAAAACCCGCTTCACAAATTTTTCTGAAATTCGCTTTTGCTTACAGAAATATGTGGTCAGGTGTCTAGTTTTCAAAACTGAAAATCGCAGGTCCCTATCTATCAAAGTGACAGAATTGTGCAAGAAACGAGCACACGCCTTTTATTTTGGCGCCGATAATAGCTTATTTCATTCATTCTCAAGAAATTAAGTTGCGTAGATAATCCATGTGTGTTAAAACTACGAACAAGAATAAGAATATTCTTATCAGTACAAAACACAGTGTCATCGAGGTTGTTCTCTTGTTTTTCAATACTAACGCCTCTTCGTTCAGCGTATACAATCCTCACAGTGATATGTTGTCACTATCACTTGCTTGTATTTATGAATATTTAAATGGCGTTACGCATTACACAGATATCAATCGTCAAATAGGTGATGAACAATTGTTAGAAGTTGCATCAAGCAGTTTTATCACAAGTCTCCAGCTTTCATCAATCAAAAGTTATTAAAAAAGTAACCGATAATATTGGTTTTACTACGGACGGTAGTAAAGGGAGATTAGGCAGAGCTGATCCAGAAACATTATTTTTCTCTTCTGCTGCCACCAGATTTTCGCCACTATGTTCTTAATTATCTCAAGAACGTGTTACGATAACTTTTGGAAGTTTATTCGTTTTATAACAGAATATTTTGAAGGCTTTTTGTTCATTTGAAACACATTCTGGCTAGCACAGCCTTCTTAATTAAGTTTTGTTTCCGAAAGGGATGTTTTGTCGTAGAGCGTGCACGATATTATTTCTGTCAGCTTATTTCAACTAAAGATTTATTCCTGTAAATCGGCAAATATCGCCGTTTTTTCCCCGAGAATATGCCAACTCAAAACAGAAGTGCTCTTATGTAACCAATAATAAATTTATTGGCACTGATCGATGTCTACACTCTTTTTGGATTTTTTCGCTTAACAAAAGTCCAAATTTTAATGTTTAATAATTTCGGTTGTTTGATAAGTATTTGTGAGTGTTTCATAATTCAATTACAAATACTATATTTGATACCGAGTACGTTTATAACAAATGTAGTTTTCTTTTAATACGCACCCTATTTTGCGAAACCAAAATGAGCAAATCAAAATAAAAGAATATCTCATCGAGATGTTATTATGTTCTTCCAAAAACATAATCATCCTCTTGAAGTAGGAGATTTCCTGAAATGTATATTAAGAAGATCTCGCTTAAAGACCCTAGGACAATGACCAGAAGATAGAAACATTTAGATAAGTCAAGGTTGCATTTTGGTGCTTTAGAAGGGAACTTTTATCTGACAAAAGAATATCTTATGTAGATTGTTTCTTTTAGGGAAAAAAAATCCAAGTTAAGCTCGCCACAGGCGATCATCATGCTGACTGGATCAGTTTTTGGAAAGTTTATCTATGATTAATTTGCTATAACTAAATCCATTTTATGATGTTCTTATAAAGCTTGAACCATTTTTCCTTTCGTTTTTAGGGAAATTATTATCTCGAGGTTTTTTCAACAACCGAAGATTTTCCATCTCATTTTGGTAATGATGTGGTTTGATTCTCCTCGAGATATAGGTCTTCTAAATATAACAACGTTGCGGTGAATGATGAAATCTCTTTCAATCCATAATTGCTCAGAGTTAATTTTGCCATTTCCTAGGAGGATAATTAACCCTTTGGTAGAAAAGTGTTTAAACGTAAGCGTGCCGAATTCGTTGATTGACCGATTTCTTTTCCTTCTAATTCTTTGTAAAAGTTCCGAATCGATCAGATGAGATTTTGACGGAATCGTACGCTAATACGATGAGCTCATCTGAGAAAAAACTGGAGAAGAAAAATGCGCTAAGGAGCAGGTGTGTCTTTGTTTGAGATTTATTTGAAAAAGTATCATATAGAGCGAAGAGATGTCTGATTTCATGTTAACACTTTAGTTTACCCTGGCTAACTAGTTATACAAAAAACTTAAAGAAGACAACAGTAAATAAAATTCTTTTTGTAAGAAAAGTTTTAAAAACTTACATTTTTTATGAATTGAGACTATTATCGGCGCCAAAATAAAAGGCGTGTGCTCGTTTCTTGAATAACTTCGTCACCTCGATAGAGAGCGACCTCCGGTTTTCAGTTTTGAAAACTAGACATCTGACTATACGTTTCTGTAAGCACACGCGAATTTTGAAAAAATTCTGAAGAAAACAGTCTGAAAACCCTAATTTTCGTAAAACTGGCTTTTCGGTAGATTTTTAAAACTTTTTCTAAAAATACATATTGCCATGAGACTGAGTATGGTCGATTATCCATAGTCCATCTGTTTTTAAGGCTACCAAGAGCTACTGGGTGCCAGTCGTGGGACTCGTCGGAAATCCGATATAACGTCCAAGCTGCAGAAAATCAAGGTCTCACTTTACTCCCACTTCGAAGAGAACACCTCGGCTATCAGCTCATGAGAAAAAATCAATACATTCCTATGTGAAGTTCGAATACCCGAGCTAGTTTCCCAAAGATCCTCGGAAAAACCCGCTTCATAAATTTTTCCAAAATTCGTGTGTGCTTACAGAAATGTATAGTCAGATGTCTAGTTTACAAAACTGAAAATCGCAGATTGCTCTCTATCGAGGTGACGGAGCTATGCAAGAAACGAGCATACGCCTTTTATTTTGGCGGCGATAATAGATAGATCCATTTTGTACAGCATATCTGAGTTTGTTCAGATATACTCTTAAATCTAAAACATTAAAATTTTTAGAAAAACGATACTAAAACGATAGTTTCTCTACTTCAAATATACTCTTCCTTTTGTTCAACTTATTAATGACTTTTCTTACCAAGGATGTTTTTTCATTCATTTCAAACTATATGTGTATAAAGTCAACATATGTCACTAATAATTTGAACAAAAAGAAAAATAAGTAAATTCAACATCGATAACCTTGTTCAACAGAAATAAAAGTACGTACAATCTAACTACTGACGTTTGTTCTGTATAAAAAAGTAAGTTTTAACAGACAAATAAAGTATTTTCTTTTTTAAAGTATTTTATATTTCTAAAAGCGCATATCTTTATTTCGTTTAAAATATCGTCCCTAGATAAAAAAGGATGTGACATTTCTAGATTAATTCAAATTAATTGTTTTAATGCATGCTTAATGGAACTCTAAAAACATGAACTAAAACGAAAAATATTTCTCCAGATTTTAACTTTTTCATAATTGTTTAAGTTAAAGTTACTTTTCGTTTCCTTGCCGGTAACGTAACTTACTTTAAGTTACTACCTTAACGTAGTGAAAAAATTTGAATTTTTTTCGGTCATAAATAATTAAGTAAGTACCAGAAAGAGACAAAAATGTAGTTTCGTTGTTAAGAGTATATTAAACGTTGCTGTTCTCTTTCAAAATTCACGCTTGCTGCTGGTCGGTGCACAGTTGGCATCCAGGCAGAAATTAGGTGAAAAATCGAAGTTGCTCTTAATTCAAATACAAATAGTGGAAAATGTAGCCCTTTCAAAGGGCTATCGGATGGTATATAAATGTCTATTTTGAAAATGGTTCCTACGACGAGAAATCACGGTACACAAAACCGATTACGGATATCGTTACTACATACGAAATAAAGATTCTTTTATGGAGGNCGATTACGGTACATGATTTCAAAGCAGATATTCAGAACCAGCACGTCTTCGGCTATCTATTGATAACAAAATATTTCTATTTCGGCACCGAATTCAATAAGCAAGAGTGACATGTTCTCCATCACGTCAGTCCGTAGTACAGTACTCCAGTATACTCGGGTCGCCCTCGTTAGCCCCACGCGAAAATAACATTCAAACACATCTAAATGTTCCTCAAACGCTACTCTATGTATTCTAAAATCGCAAAATCTCGCATATTTTCCAAGGAGGTTTTATGGATTTTCCA